AATAAAGTGGCCGGTGAGTGTATATACCCCCTTCTAAAATTATATGGACAGTTAGATAAATACCAAATATAATATTTCTCTCTGTTATATTTATATTGGGCAATATAGATAAAAGTCACACTTTATTTTCTGTTGCCAATAAGCAATGTTAGCAAAAAATACAAAGGAGAAAGAATGGTTTTGAACCTCTCCAAAAAAAAAACACCATGCCATTTGAGGAAAATATTTAAAGTATATCTTACCCACTTCTCTTCTATAGCAGTGCCTTGGTATACCCCAGAGAAGAAGCTACAGTACTGGCTGTCATCATAAAAGAAGTTTACTGTTCATGATTTGTTACCTGTAAGGAAAGTTTTTTTTTTTATATAGTTGTTAGTATTATATGAACATGCTTAAAATGGAAGGCACAGAGACTCTATTTTTTTTAAGACGTTTAAACAGCTATCTAGGCATTTGTTAATTCTGTAGGCTTGCACCAGAGCAATCATCTAGTTGAGCTCTGCACCTCAAGAACAAAGGACACACCTTTGAAGACAGGTGTTCAGATTTTGGACAGAGAGAAGAGGTGGTTTGCAAGAGGGGTCAGGAAATCAATTTTTATGAAAAGAGAAAAGTTACCATTGACAAGGACTCTGCTTTCAAATCCCAAGCATTTACAATTCAATCATGGACCTCATCCATAAAAGTTTACATAAGCACTACCATTATAATTCCAAAGACCAATCACATAACCTATGCGCAACAAAAGGCTCCAACAATCCAGAAGAACAAGGGGTGGCTATCTGATTTGTATATGACTTGCAATGTGTGTAGGAAGATGGAGCTCCATGCTGCTTAAATACACTAGCATTCCAACCAGTGATTGCTCTGGTGCAAGAGAAAAGAACTGACAAAGACTCCTGGACAGGTGACGAAAGGCCTTCAAAAAAAGAGTCTGGTTGCCTTTCAATTTAAGCTTGTTTGTGAGAAATGGTTTTTAAATTTTGACAGCAACTTGAATATAAGAGGAAAAATGTATGTTCTACTTTTCTGAAATAATAAGTTTCACTTAATATTAAAACATTTTCAATATGTAACTTTATTGTGAAACATAAACAGAAACCTCATGATCCTTAAAATACAGTTCTGAAACACTTTTAATCAGTCTTTTGAGCTATTAAGTAATAAAAAAACAGCTAAGAAATTTCAAATGAGAAAAAAGTCAAATAAAAGCAGTGATGGGCAGTAGCGCCGCTACATGTAGCGAAGCTATTAGTTTAACTACATTTTCCAGTAGCTAGACCGTAGCGTCGCTGCTTTATTTATCAAGTAACTTTCCTGTAGCGACGTTATTGTTTTGATCAAGTAGCGACGTAGCGTCCACAAACGATTCAAAATCCAGGGCAAAACTAAGAAATGAAACCAGGTTTTCTATTTCTAAACAACAATCAGCCACAAAACTACTGTAAATAGCAGTTTCAGCTGACGCTCTTATAAGTTGCGTAGTAGCACAGGCACACTCAGTAGGGTTAAACAAGCGCACCCTTTCCGAGGCTGTCGTTCTATTGGCTGGAAAGGTTGCTAGGCAACGATCCAACTGCAGTCTCAGAGAGCAAAACAAATCCGCAAGCAGAGCCTACGGGTTTGCGAACGTAACAGAGCGCGGTTTGTGCGCGAAGAGAAGGAGGCAAGCGAGAGGAGAAAATATCTGTGCAAGAAGCATTAAATCTGAGATAAGAAACAAAGATTTGAGAGAGAAGAGAAAATATTTGAGAGAGAGCGCATGTTTTGAGTGTGAGCATTATAAGTTTTGAGAGCAAGAAGATGAAATTCTTTTCTCTAATTGAAGTTATGTGCTCTTGCATTATGGCAGGATAATTCTCCCATATCTATGTGCCACTATACTCTAATTAGAGAGCAGTAGTCAAACTTAGATATTGTATTTTCATGGCCTAGTTTACCTGACAGAATGTTTACATAAATCTGTTTTTAGGCTGTGCACAGATAAGATTTTTTATGGAGGAACAGCTCTACCGTATATAAAATAAATACATAAATAAATAAATGCTCAATAAATAAATAAATAAGCATTCAATTAATTGCCTCCAAAAATACAATGAATAAATATGTAGGTAGAAATTAAATTATATGGTGAGACATATATATATGTATCTCTTAATTAGCTTCTTTATTTTTTCACCTTCTTTTGTTAACAGTTTATTTTGTTACTTGAATCAACTGTTTAATTGAGATCTTTTGTAGGGTTTTGTTTTCCCTAGAGATGTCCATTGAATGCAAACTCATAGCCATGTCTCGGTGTGTAGAACACTACACAGTACCTTTAATTTGGTTCTAATAACAGCAGATTGTTTACTAGTTTGTCTACTAGTAATTACTTTAGTTTTTATTTTAATATGCTGATCATAAAGCAATGTTTACACTGTGTTATGTCATTGGCTGATCTTTAATAAATATTTTAACCAGTGCATCAGACTCATTTTGAATTGACATTAGGTTGGTACAACTTTAAGTAGCTTCTGATGTAGTTAAGCTACTTTTAACACATTAGTGTAACTTAGCTTGCTATAATTCTTAAGGTGGTAGATTTGGTGTAGTGAAGCTTAATTTATTGTTGAGTAACTGATAGCTTAGCTCACTACACTGGACAAGTAGCTTGCCCAACACTGAATAAAAGTTAGATAATTACATACTCATAAAATCAGATTTATAATATATAAATAAATAATAATTATAATGTATATGTTATTTATTATAGTAGTTCATAAATGGATTATGTATACTCATAAAAATAAGATTTATAACATATACATGAATAATAACTATAATGTATATACTATTTATTATAGTAGTTTATGGATTAAAAAAACTACTCAGATTTAAAACTGGTTGTTTTTTGCCATTTAACAAGGTTTAAAATTTCTGTATCATAACCAGAATTAATATATCCTCTATAAGATTACATCTAGTTCTTTTGACATTTCTCTTATTCCTGTTTCCTACTGGATTAACAAAAGTCAAGGTCCAAATGTGACACTTAACCCATGATTAATTAGAAAGGTGCAAGTTCAGAAACTCCATAAACTTGTACCTGTTCTTTTATTTAAGCATTAGAGCAGGGGTCTTAAACTTGAATCCTCTAGGACAGGCGTCCTATGACTTTTAGATGTGTGTCTGCCTCAACACACCTGACTCCAATATGAACTCATTAGCAGGGCTTGACTACTAGTATGGTAGTTAAGATATATGATTCAGGTGTGAAGAGCAAAGGAAACATGTAGGCTACATTTATACTGCAGGCCTTAATGCTCAATTCTGATTTTTTTGTAAAATCCTATTATTTTGCGTGGTTGTTCACATTTCTAAATACATAATATGTGACCTGATGTGATCTCCAGCGTGAACTGCTTTAACACAAGTGTTCCACATGCACAGTAGATTATGCAAAGACGTCAGAAGTGAGCATTCTATGTGTTTACGGAAGTAAGCATAGATGGCAGTGCTGAGCGCATTTTGCAATCTTTCAATTCTTTCCCGACCTAAGCCAGTGCATAAATAATAAAATCTTATCAAGAGTGTTGAAAATAAAGACTGCTCTCCGCATTATCGTCCTCCATGATTGTAATATAATCACGTTAAGGTTGGATCAATGCAACCTGGCCGATCTGTGTTGTTCAGGCTGTCATTACAAGATGAGATACAGGTTGCATGTGGGCAAAAAAGTTGGATTTGGGGCACTTCAGGCTGCTGTGTAAAAGTAGCCAAAAAGTTTAAGGATTTGACTTTGTGAGTGCTGCATTAGAGGAATGACTGGATGATTGACATAAAAAGAAGACATGCACAGCAATGCTTTATGTGTGATAAAACATATTGCATCTGACTTTAGGTGAAGTGTTTACATATGCAGTGTGTACTCATCAGTGTAGAACACTGTGCATTAACCTGAACAACTTAAAATGGCATTAGTGCAACTTCTAGAGAACTCAGGCCGTTTTCTTAAAATATTTCAAATGCACAGATTTTTCTTTTGCTTTTCAAAACAAAAGGAAGGGTAAGTTTGTCTTAATATTCATATTTGGATTTCTCACAGATGTCTTTTTGTATGCCTTGTGCAACCAGCATAGATTCACCTCCTCACATCTTGGAAAGTCAGTATCAAACAGGCATACAATATCTATTTTCTTTGCTACTTAGTATTTATGAAAGAAACAGTGTAGCTTTGTAAAACACAAGGCAAAAAACAATGTTAAGACAAAAAAAATGCAATGATCAACTAAATTTTGACATGAAATAGATACAATTCAAGAATGACCAGACATGACATGCAATATACATGGTAATGAAGATGATCATCATACAGAAGAAATCCCAAATATTTTTGATATTTTAATTTTTAGATCAGATAAAGCTAGTGTAGCAAAGTAGAAATATATTAAATATGAGAAGCATCTAACACAGGGTGAACTAAGTTTCCATTATGATGTGTATTTTTTTTATTTATTTATCCGCAGATGAGTTTTTATATAGAAGGATGTGAGCATTGCTTGAATTTAATAAGTAAATGAGATTATCAAATTTGATAAAAAATGTAAGAGAAAACAGAATCCTAATATTGATAACATTTATAACTCAATTAACACACCTCATTAGGCAGACACTGACATGTATGCAAAATTCATAACTGACATTGGATAGAAATAAATCAGGAAGCTGGCTTAAAAATGTCTTATTTTTTTAAACACTAATATTCTCTCTATAAATCAAATTCTGGTTTTCCTAGTATGTATTTCTCTCTGCTTTGTTAAAGAAGAGGCTCTACTGTAAGGTCTATGGTCATGGCAGCAGAGTTTGTTTTAATGTAATGTGTGTCAGAGGGTGTGTATTTTGAGTTTTTGCAATAAAAAGGTAAGGGCTCCAATCCAGATGGCTTGGGTCATGTGTGTATTCCCTATTGGTGGGGAAATCAGGTTCAGGATCATAAATCATCTTCTCTGCATCTCATAAATAGGAATATAATCATACTTTATTACTTATTGTCCATGACCCTTAGGACGGCAGAACAAACAAAAACAACAACAAAAAAATAAATAAAAATCAAAAACATTGAATAGGTTAGACTATAACATCACATTAGTGAAATAAAACCCAAAGGTACAACAGAGTATTATAAACATTGTGCTTCTTTAATTTCAATTACTACAGTCCTCCATTGTCTTTGTAGTCTTCCACTTTAAATTTAGTAATATTATATATATAGATATATATTTATATGTATAGAGAGAGATAAATGTACACGTATAATCCGCACTGAGGTTCGTCTCTTGTGGCAATCAGAGAGGCTACCGGGGGCACCCTGCCTTCATCAACCTCTGCTTTGCGTCCTTTTTCAGAAGAAATTAATTTCCTTTCTTCATTGATGCAGTTCTTCATCTTTCCAAGTATCCCAAAAAATGATTCCCAAGGAATGCAGTCTTTGTGAAGTTCTTTTTCTTCCCAGTTTCATCTTCTACCATTTTCCTTCTTACTTTTCTTTTGGAATCCCAGCTCTCTCATTTTATTCCCTCCTATTCTTTGTCATCTTTGGTAGCGTGTCCGACACTTTGATGTGTGCGGGAGCAGGTTGCCAAGGGTTGTGATAGGGAATTGCCGCGTACAAAGAGTATGCACATGAACAAACAATAAGGTTAATGATGCAGAGAAAGAGGCGCAAAAGTGACAATAACATGAATATGGTGTTCCTATTATAGTGTTTAAGGTGAAAGTTTTACTCTTTTTATAAGTATGTCAACTTTTAATATAGGCTGGGAGTCAATTGATTACACTCTGTCCCGAAATGCTGCAACAGTCAAAGAAAATGGAGGACAAAAGGCTGAAATCTTTTTGTTATCAGCAACAGAGGAATGATATTGATATAAGGCAGGACAGATATGACAGCGAATGAGGAAAGACAAGTGACGGCTCATGTACTGGGCAAAGAGGAAGATAAAGAGGGGATTAAAAAAGCGCGAGTTGGTGCGTTGATGTTCTAAGTGCTCATCATCTGTAGAGGAGTAAGAGGAAACAGGAAAGGCCAAAGGTCAGCCACCTGGCCAGTGGCAGCGAGTGTGAAGCTCCAATAAGAACTAGAGAAAAAGAAAAACAGAAAAAAAACAACATATCAGTTTATGCAGAGGCAATACATTTAAACTTGAGTTTTGATCAGCTTTTAAATTATAGGGCATATGGAAAAAATCCCTTGGAGGTGCTTAATTTAACCTTAAGTGATTTATGCAACTTATTTTGAAACTAGACAGGTGTGCATAACTCGTTTTAAGCTAGCTTCACCAAGCAGAGACTCTTTTTTGTACAGCTTGCAGAAATGTTAAAGAGGTAAGGTAAGGCAAGGCAAGGTAAGGTAGGGTTAAGGTAAGGGATGCCTTTATTCTTTCACGGTGGGGTAATTCAGATTTAAGGGTGTTAAAAGCAAGTAGACATACAAATTACACATTTAAAATAACAAAAAAGGAGCCACCAAAGTAAACATTAAAGCATTAGAGGAAAAGAAACAAAATTCAGAGAGGTAAAAAAAAAACAGCATTCTTAATTTAAAAAGACTTTAGCTAAATAATTAGAAATGTTTAAGCAGCCTGTTAACAGAGGAATGCAGAAGGTCTGTGCAACCAAAAGGATTTTAGAGAAAACAATTTCAGAGGGAATATAAAACCGTGTAAATAGCCATTAACATTTGTAGTCATGAATATTTGTGTTCCTTAATATCTATAGGACACATATCAAGTAGATTAGTTGCAGTGCAAATCATTCTTGCTCAGATCAAAAACCCTTAGATATAGTTGCAGGATTTTAAATCCTTATTGGGCCTTTTGGGAACACTAAGATTGTTGAGTCTGATAGTAGCTGAAAGAAAGGAACTGTGAAAGCAATGCTTTATGCATTTATTGATATTATGCATTTAAGTTAAAGCAGGAGCCAAGTGCTTGGCATTCTAAAAGACTGGATGTTTTATTTTACAGACTTTGTGGAATAACACCATCCAATGAAAGGTGGTACAATTGTGAAACCTGGGAGAAACAGAGGAAAAGGAACATACCATGCTTCTGGATTTACAAACTGATTAGAACTTTTTTTTTTTTATATAACACATATTCAATTAATTTTTTTCAAAATTCCCTTGTGGCCTTTCAATACACCATGTAAACCTTTAATCGTGGAAAATTCCAAATGTGATGGAACTTTATAGAATATAGGAAACATAAGAAGACATTCTAAATAAATTTGAATTGCATTATACAACTAAGTGGCAGTGTAGAGTTTTTGCGCTCACGAGGTTCAACATATTTGTACTACTAATACAATTAATCAATTAAAAACAAGCTTTTTTAATATTACAAGTTCATACTCTTTTTCTACAGGTTACATGTAGTAATTTTGAATATATTTGACTTTAATTATTTCTTGAATTCAAACTCATTATCTGAGGATGCATCATTCAACATATTTTATCCTGCAGTATCTATTAAATTAGAAATACCATTCTGATGTATTTTATCCTGTCACATGTTAGTTTTTTAACTTTATCAGACCAGGACCCAATGTATATACCAAAAAATTAGAAGAGGGAGACAAACGTGTATCATTCATTGAATGTAGGGCATTTGTTATTAAGCGATTAATAATATAAACTAATGCAGAAAGTGCTTTCATGTAATGAACTGGATAGAAGTGTTTGCCCATGCACTCTGCTTTTTAAATCACTTGCTTTTTAGTGCAGTCTGTTTTGTGAATCTGGGGTAGAATAAGAGAAAATTTGGGGAAAATTGCAGGTTTCATAAAATCCATATATGGGAAAGGAAAAATGTGTTCAGATTCAGGATCAACAACTTTCCTTTTACAGTGATGAATAGTCTTACTCTGTTTTTATAGTTTTTACTACACTGTAACCAGCCATATACTTTTCTACTACAACACAGCACAGACTGAGATTCATAAAGAAACTGAAAATGTTACCCACTTCAACTTAGCTTTATGGATAAAAAGTTAGTAGTGTATTCAGAAATCAATATGATTTCATAACAACTGTCCATTCCCCAGGCACAAAATCAATATCTATAGTAAAGCTTTTATATGCAGCACACTGCATTTCTGTAGCACAAAATGTAGACGATAAATTGAAAAATAATACAATATGCTGTTAAGTTTAATGGCTTATTTGCATTTTTTAACCATTTAGTCTTGTAGTGTTTTTCGGGGCCACACCTTATGGTATCAAAATATGTGAAGTCTTTATTTTTTATTTTCTGGTCTGTTTTTACTAGACTTCCTTTCCAAGTTCCTTTCAAGTTATTTGTTAACCCCTTTCATTTTTCTTTAAAGCCCTTGCTGTTTAAAGTCTATGCTTGTCAGTTGCCCTTTTGTCCAGTCCTTGTTATTGTTTTTGGTTTAATGTCTGCTGGCTGTGGAAAGGTTTGGTTTGTCTTTTTTCAGTATGAATATTCAGATTTCCAGCACAAACTCATTCAGATTCTTTGCCCATAGCACCGCTTGGCCAGGTGGACAGCTGGTGGAGCTTAGGTGGAAAGCCATGTTTATGTCGCTTTTCAGTTTTTCCATACTCTCTCCGTGTTCAGAAATTATATCAAACAGAGCTATATGAGATATTCACAGGTTCTGATATTGATTTATAAACTTATCCTCGTCCACATTTCTCAACATCCTTAACTGTGCACTGTTTCCTTATTTCATAATACTATTGGTTTAGTTGTTTTCCCTCACAAACCTCTAAGACCTTTACATCACAGCTGGATTTATACCAGTTCATTTGTACATTTACTGCTCTAGTTACTAATAAAGTAAATTTGAAGGCAATTACTTGCACTGGATTTTATTTGGGGATACCATATCATTTGTATTGTAGAAAAAAATGTTAAAAAGTATTTCTATTCTAAGAAATCCCTGCAATTCCAGGGAGATATTTATTTTAGGTGGTTAAAAATTGTCTAAATCCCCTTTGTTTTTAAGAATCTAGAAAAAACCCTGTCTTGCGAGAGAGAGATATTTGAAAAACTTATTTTAAAAGAGGAACTAAATCATCTTTTACCAGCTCATTTTCTCAGGGAACATGCAGACGAACCAGGTGGAGCTCTGTGATTTGGGCAGGCGGAGTTGGACTAAATAAGTCAGAAGCAATGATTGTTCATTTATCACAAGGCTTCCTTACGTAAGTTCTCTGTTAAACTGGCATAAATGTCAGGTGCAATGTAGGCTGCATAGATACAGCACAAATAGATTGTGAAACTTTTTTTTTTGTTTCACGATTAGGTTGTATTGTCTTTCTACAATACTAAACCAAAGATGAATATTTAATTATTTGGGTTTGGGTAAATTATTAAAACATGGTTGAGCAAAGAGGTCAATCACTGTGCCTGACACTCAGCATAACAATCTGAGTGGTATCTTTCTAAAATATTAAATGGCACTAGCAGGTAAAATGTTTAGAATTTTCTGTGGTTTGTCTGGGAGACAGCTCGGTTTTCCAAAATGGGGGATACAGCTAAGGTCAGTTCTCACAGAAAGGGGATTATGTATTGAGAAAGAAATAAAATCAGAATTTTGTACTTTTAATGCTTACTTTATGAGATGCACCTTGCATTCATTACAGTATGTTATCAACTTTAAATAAAATAGATGACATAAATAAACATACCTTGCAGAGTCCATGAAGGCAAAATCTCAACACAAGTGCTAATGCATCTTGCAATGGCAAAGACCTTCGTGTTGCCTGCTTAATAATTACCCATCTGTTTGTGCTGTGAGTCTCAAACAACCCGTAGGACACAAATGCACAGGCGCACTCTTCAAGAGCTCTAGAGCTTTCCTCTTCCTGTTTATGCCATCATCTATTATTTACACGAACCACCAGTGTTGATACATGCACATATGTGTTACATTGCATCAAGCACACGCTCATGTATGCATCTCACTCAGAACGCTTGGAAAGGTTTTAAAACAGACGTCATTAATCATTCATGGAGGTGCATCTTTTTTGCTGTTGTGAGTGATTTCATGGCTCTGATATCTTTTTTTCATCATAAATCCTAAAAGTTAACAAAGCCCTGTAGACTTAAACCACATGTTGCTGAATGAAATCAAGCTTGTGCTTCTTTCATGAGATCCTAATCTGTTTGTAACATATTTAGCTTCTTATTCTATTAGACTTTAGATTTAATTAGTAAAACACAATTAAAGACATAACACTAAAAGCAGCTACCGTATGCACTATATATGCTAGTCAGCTAATGTGCACAAGCATTTTTTGTGAAAGTCGTCAATTGTCTTTGATTAGTTCTAACAAAAGGCTATTTCTTCCCATTTTACTAATTTTTTTGTTAGAGTTTTAAATGCATGCATCAACATATTTTGGCCACTTTGTGTCGTTGACCTTTTTTGTCTGAACCTTGAGGCATCTTGTGTTTATTTGACTGAAAGTGCTTTAGTAAAAGTTCATTTTTAGTCTTATATCCTCGAAGTATCAGTGTTTTACATAATTCTTGTGTCCCTTTTTAGGAGTTTAAGTTAATCAAAATGACTTTTTTCCTTTTGTGAACATTTTTGTTGGACTGAAGAAGTCTTGCTTTCACATGTTTAAATTTACAGATGGACTTATTTGCTCAACCTCTCCCTCTGTCATGTCCAATTTCCTCCAGCCCTGTCTTGGGCATTTTCACTGCTTGATCTTGAAAAATATTCTAGGCAGGACTTTTGTATCATAGCGTATCAGAGAACAGTTTTGTGATTATCCAAGTTCTGGATTAGGTTGTTGAGTAAGAAAAGCAGAGATGATTTCTCCCCTTCGTTTATGAGTGGTATTCTGAAAAATGATCTGTCGCCATGGTGGTGAGAAAATATGCACCATTGTATGATAGGTCTTCCAAGTAATGTTAAGCATTTTGCTCTCCTTTTCTTAATCAATCTAAAAAAAACGCCTCTGGCTTTTTGTTGCTACTAAGTGTCTTTTTGTGGGTGTGACATAACCTACAATGAATGGGACTTTCCTCTCATGCTGACCCACCTTAAATCTATCATCCACTTCTGGATCTAATGTAGTTTGCGTACAGAGCCATCCTGGATGCATCCAGCAACACCACAATTCCCCAGGAATACTGTACAGTCTGTCAGGTTCCTATTTTTGGAATTCAGGTAGGATCTACAATTTGCGATGTTTAGAAGAAGCCAAATTGGAAGCTTAACGTCACCTCCCTCACAGAGAAGGCCCAGTAGATGATATGACAAACTGCCCACTAGTCCCCTTGTAGTGGCCTGGAGCACTTTCCTTTTGACAGGCAGAAATGCAGCTCTTCTTATTTTGCAATACGTTTTGCTACTTGCTGCATTTTCTCTCAAGGTGTTTCATGTTTTAGCATAATTTATGAATTTGCAGTAGGTTTACTGTTTCTCTCATTTTTGTGTTTGCATACCCTTTTGATTTTGATGTGAAATCATGCCTTTGCATCCCTCAGCTATCATACTTGTAAACCACTATAACTAAAGGTAAAACGAAGGAAGTACAAAAAGTGTCTGTTTATACTGAAGAAATCAGTACCTATTTTGTGTTTCTATCCTTAAATAAGGGGGAAAAAGACTACAAAGACATTTTATTTCATTAAGGGTGGAATGAATGTCCTATTTTTATGTCAGATGGTTGGAAAAGCAGTGTTTAGCATGTTTTCGAAGCATCTCTGTTCACAAGCACCAAGCATACCCCATCAGCCACATCTTACCTGTCTTACCTGCGTTGGCTACAGTGTTCTCCTGCTTGCATTTCCCTATGGTGATGGACACATCATCAATGGCGATATCTCCTTCAAAGCCTGCACCTCGGATTCCTTCAAACACAATCTGTTTCAGGGAGATACGAAAAAAGAGACAAGCAGATGATGAGTGAGTGAATTCAGTCCAAAGGTTTACACAGCCAGAGCCATTTTGGAAAAGAACTTACCCTAAAACTTGCCTTAAAGGAACTACATTATAGAAAATATATATAAATATGTATAAAATAATGGACTGATATACCTAGCTTTTCTCTTATTTAGCTTCCAGGCAAACTTTTAGTTTTTTTTAAAGGAATAGTACACCCAAAACATGATTAGCCTTCATTTTCTACTCACCCCCATGCTGAACAACACTCTGGAGTACTTTTTTGATATCTCAAATGCATCTGGAGATCTGGGAGGCTTCTTGCTGTCTGCTGACATTCAAATAATGGAGGTCTATGGTGCCCGAGGCAGAAAGGTCCATAAAAGTCCACAGAAAACGTGTCAATATTCCTCCATACTGCTCGTCCAATGTATTCCAAGTGTCCTGAGTGGGTAGCGTCCATAATTTACTCGAAACGAAGTCATTTAGAATGTTTTTAGAGCATAAACAGTAGTGTATAGGATTTCCTAAAAGCGCGTTCACAAGTCTACGGAAACCGCGGCAGACCAAACCAGACGAAAGTGCGCATTCAGCTCGGCAAAGAACTCATGCTCTTCCTCAACACTGAAGTCCTCAGACATTTTTCTTTCGTTGTTTCTTTCTTTGCACAGGTAAACAGCACATTTCTTCTTCTACGCTTGCATTATCGGCAGAGCAGACGCTGAATGCGCACTTTCGTCTGGTTTGGTCTCCCGCGGTTTCCGTAGACTCGTGAACGCGCTTTTAGGAAATCCTATACACTACTGTTTATGCTCTAAAAACATTCTAAATGACTTCGTTTCAAGTAAATTATGGACTCTACCCACTCAGGACACTTGGAATACATTGGACGAGCAGTATGGAGGAATATTGACACGTTTTTTGTGGACTTTTATGGACCTTTCTGCCTCGGGCACCATAGACCTCCATTATTTGAATGTCAGCAGACAGCAAGAAGCCTCCCAGGTCTCCAGATGCATTTGAGATATCAAAAAAGTACTCCAGAGTGTTGTTCAGCATGGGGGTGAGTAGAAAATGAAGGCTAATCATGTTTTGGGTGTACTATTCCTTTAATACTTAGTTTGGTTTTTATTTTATTTTCACACATGCCTTCACAAACTTATCTAATTCTATGACTGCTAAAGCTTAAGACCTATTACTACCTTTGCTCCTTTTCAATGCTTTCCACAGAATTCCTTTTTTGCCCAAGTGGCCTGTATCGAATAATAAATGGGCAAGTGGAAGGATAGAGGGAGAGAATTGAGATGGATGGGTTGATGAACGGATGGACAGGCAGAAAGATAGATATATTTCTTATGATATGATGTAACAATGCTGTTCAACAATAAGAACATACAAATCTATATACTATATAACTGAAAAAATGTTTTAAATATTTAAAAGGTAAGATATATTCTTTTTTTTTTCATTATCAAGAGTCGGTTTTATTGGTGACGCTTTGACATCAGCATGTCACTGAGCATTTACCATATACTTAGCAATCATGCTTGTGTATTGTGATTTTTCCCACATCAACAAAAACAAGGCTAAACAGGAGTCTCATCAGAAAACTCCCTTTTTAGTTAACAGCCATCTGGTTTCTGAGTGACAGCCTAATTACTGCGGTGTAACAAAGGCGCCCAGACGCCCATTGCAGCTAATAAAGAAAAAGACAAAAACAAAACAAGCAGTCTCCTTCTGAGGGAGAAAAATAGAATAAATAAGGAATGGTTTTTGCTTATTAAATACTTGAAAACTTACATCTCATCCATTACTTAAGTTGAATATACAGATGATTTAGTATCTAGCGAGGATAAATAATACATATGATTGATAAAGTGCTGGTTGTATTGAATACATTCTAAGAATGTGTCATTCCCATAAAAATGGCACCCTATATTATATTACATTTCATACTGTATCAAACTAATATAGCGACATTACAGTATGTCAGCTGGGTTTGGGAGTAAGGCTCTGTAACCTTGATTAAAAATGTGTTAGTATGTGGAAACCCCTTGCTAGAGGAAAACCTGGATGCTTGTTGCTTATAAACAAGCCTTCTAATAAATATCTAAAGCTTACCTTGATAGAAGCAGGTGCAGACATGGAGGAATAACAAATAATGCATGACTGGCTTTACTCTACAAAGTCCATCTGTTTAACACCACCAGGCTGCAGTGTGGGTCTGTTCCCTGCCACCAGTTTTTTAGTAAATATATCAAGCTATAACAAGTGTGGGTTCCATTAACCTGATCTGGACCTACTGAGTGGAAAAGCCTAACACACATATCCCCCCCCCCCATATATATGCTTTCTGTGAATGAAAGGTGAAGAATAGGCTAAGCAATCATCAAAGCTAACATGTCTCATGTCAGAGGTTTTCCATTGTGTTGTTTTAATCTTTGAGCATTTGGTTCATGGCCAACAGGGGAGTCAAGTTAAAGTATCAAACATAAAAATCATGGAGTTGAAAATTATGATAAAATCATGAGCAGGTGATGCAGGTACTTTAAAATGTGAGAAGAAAGATTCCTCACAAAGTTTGATTGATCTCAGAATGAGAGAATGTATAGACTTGCTAGATATCTAATTTCTGACTATGATGACTTAATCTAGTCCATGATCCCCATTGTTATGACTATGGATATTGCAAAAGGCTTATCTACAGTATATAGACTTACTAAAGTGTCCATATGGAACTATGAAAAATTTATTTTTGTTTCTCTTTAACCTCCTCTTAATCTAGAGTCAAATTGATTACATTAATAAAAATAAATCTAAATTGCTGTTCCCTACTTTCACTTTTTGCTTTCATTTTGGTAAGGAATTAGAAACATCTGAGTGGACAAAGAATACTTAAGAAAACATTGAAACAGACTGGGTGGTATTTAGAGGGATAAAAAGAAGGTCTGCAGCACAGTATGGATTTTGGTGGTCAGCTTATTTAAGCAGGGGATCTGAATATTAGACAGACTGAAGCCATGAAGGAAACTTGGGTGGAGGGACACAACTAATTGACCGAAACACCACAATCCCCTCAATTAAACAGACTTCCAAACAGCTTTGTTACTGCTTAGATTGACAAACTAAGCAAACCAACTTTGTTTTCCCTCTGTGTTTGGCTGGAATTCTGATCAATCCACTTTGGGTACCTATTGTCATTAATATTTTATATGCAATGAAAACCTTCAAGTAAGGGTCTCAGAAAATTATACTGAATATGTCATAAAACTATTTATAAATTGACTTTAATATTAATTCAGAAGTCAGACATACAAAATAAGCTGTTATGATTATACCCATGGATAAGTGAATTTAAGAAGAGAATATAAATACTGAACAAAACTTATTTAAAATATTCAACTGACAAAATGGAGTCTTATTTTTCTAATTAAGATTTGAACCAATCCAGCACATTACAAGACAATCCCAACCACTACAAGACGATAAAAAATCTCAAGACAAATCTATTTAAATTAATATAATGCAATCTCTATGTTTAAAGAATGAAAGAAAACATTTTGAAATCTAAAAGAATGAGAAATAGTCAGATGTTAAAGCTGTAAAATTGATCCCAAAAACAATTTAATAATTTCATTATCCCCACATTTGTGTTTTTTCTTTAAATCACATCAATATCCTGTAATTAAACAAGAAAACACTTCCATTTGTGACTTTCACAGACATTGGAGCTGTTTTACACAGGAATAAAACAAACACACTTTTTTCTTATGATCAAATTGTAAGAAAAAAAAAAAAAGTCGTACAAATTGTGAGTGTGTAGGTGCAGAAACAGATCCCAGGATCAAAAGGGGTACAGTCACATGCCAGGTTGGAGCTGTGAGAGTGTTGTTTTGTTGAGCCCTGTAACCTTTAATGTTTCCCTTGATGTGCTGTCCATGCACCAGATGGGGCACAGTGTTAGAAAAAGGAGCAGTGAAAGTGACTGAGTTTACACGTGTTACACACAAATATACAGTGAGGGCTTTGAAATTCCTGTGAGGAGCAGATTCACTGTCCAATGATAGGCACAGAGGAATACATAGTAGGTCAGCCTGGTTTCCCACAGGTACCTCGGGTGAATGAAAATGTGAGGAACACAGATGGCCTCAGGTTAATCTGAGAGTGGGGATGAGTAATCTACCAAGGGTTGCTGTATTGGTGTTATTGTACTTCAATTGTTTTAATTAGTAGGTGTCATTATTACTCTATTATGTATTCACTGGAAAACCCATTCTGTCTTTCAAAAGTGTTCAATAATAGATTTCATTATCTAATTACTGAACTGAAACTATAGTTCACCCTGTACTAACTTCCAATATAAATATGCAATTACAATGCAATTATAATACAATCACTGAAAGCTTGACGGATTTGCGCAGTATCTTTGCTGTTCCTAGAACTGCACTTCTCTGGAACAAGATGTCTGATGTATTTCCAGGGATCTGCCGTAGCCACTCCTCAGGTTTGGGGGTCACTGCCCCAAGTGCCTCAGTGGCCAGAGGCATCACTGATGCCTTGACCTTTCAGGTTTTCTCCAGCTTTTCTGTGAGCCCCTGGTATTTCTATAGTTTCTCATGTTCCTTTTTTTCTGATGTCCGGTTAGTTTGCCATTACCGTCCATTCAGTCTGTTTACTGTATATCAGGAAGTCCCACAGGATCTTGGCTCGGTCAATCTCTACCACCTTTGGAGGTGTTTTCACATTGTATATAATAATAATAATAATAAAAATATGAAGTAACTTATTCGAGCACAAATATTTTGGAACAGCCTAAAAATCTTATTTTTACTTATTTTAATCAAAAGCAGCAGAATTTGATCGAGCCTAAAAAAAAAAAAATATGTCAGGGGTGTAATGGAGGGGATGCTAAGACAGAGGTAAGCGAAACTGAAATAGTAAGATAAAACAATAATATATATGTAACAGATTTTAAGGGGAAA